GAAATGGACTGAGCCATCTCTTAGTCAATTTATCAGCAAAATTATGTAAATTAAACTTCTATAGAGAATATTATGCCACTTAAAAATAAAATGAGGACTTGCTGCCGATCAATATATCCACACCAGGTAATCTTTCTATGGGTGCTTATATAAGCACAACTTTTAAACCCTTTTTTTCCAAAGCCCTTGGGGTTCTCTCTTTTCCTGTGATTGACACTGACGGCCGGAAGTACCTTCCAGCTCCCTGTTGATGCTGTCGGGCACAGTCTCCAGCAGAAAATAGAGTCTGCTCAGCTCCATACTTTCAATTTCCAGAAGCTCAACTGTCTTTTTTCTCATTTCTTCCTGAAAAAAAAAATTAGACTGCATTGTTAAAAAGGTAATGCATCAAAATAATGTTTATTTCCTAAGAATGGGTCTGTCTGTTTGGGGGGTGAAAAGGCCATTTCCTCCACACCTCTCCTGCTGCTGTTTTTACGTGGCAGACGGCAGGGAAAGATGATGACTTACAATCAGATTTTAATCTGCTACTGCTGATTTATCTTTTAGTTTCTGTTGGTTTTCTTTTACTCAGAACATTTTCCTTCTGGGTACCTGTTTCCTATATCCAACTTCAATTCATTTAAATGGAAAGAGTCTAACAAGAAGGGCAAAACTAAGGCCACTCACTAAAAATCAAATTTCCCTAGAAATACCCATGTGGGAATAAAGTGAACAATGCTTTTCTCCTTTAAAATATATGTATCCGTGTACATGTGTACACCATGTGTAATGTATACCGTGTATACATATGGTACCAACAGAGGTCAAAGAAGAGCCCTGGATCCTGGGACTGGAGTCATGTACCACGATGTGGGTGCTGGGAACCAACCCTGGGTCCTCTGCAAGAGCAGCATGTGCTCTTAACTGCTGAGCATATCTCCAGCCCCCAGGCTTTTTCATATCTATAAATCTAAACAGTCTTAAGAATGATGATTCATTTGCTTGCTTTAGGTACAAACGTATTTAAAGGAGAAGAAACCCTCAAAGATCATCTTTTACGTAGATAAAGACGTAGCTATTTTGTAACCTGAGAAACTTCTGTTGTATTTACCAACTGAAAATCAGATTGCATAATTGCATACTCTATCACGTGGGTGGTTGTAAGCATTGCTTACATATTATGTTCAAGTTTTTGCCCACATAGTCCACCCATTAACTGAGCTTTCTCAACAATGCTCATGTGGCTTTTCCTAATTGGGCTGTCTTCATCTTTGGCACAGGCCTCATAACTCAGTTTTCTGCATGAAAAGTTGAGCAGCAGTTAATACTGAGATTTGTTGGTAAACTGAAGAAAAAAATGTTTAACCCATATTTAATAATTAATACTATTTAAACATTAATTTTTAATATTTAAATATTTTCTCTGTTCACATATTTAGGCACCTTGAGTAGAGTCATGCATAAATTAAGGGTTAATGAAAGTATACGTGAAAGTCTGAAAAATATCTTAAAGATAATACGGTACCAGTTTTTTAACAGCAGCAACAATGTCCTTAAGGAAGGTTTTAACTTCTTCATTGCAAGTGAAATAGTCACCTTGCAGAGATTTTTCTGGAAAACAAAAGATTAGAATATTAAGGTATCTTAAGGGATTTGTTCCAATCCTGCTTGTTTCCACCTTTATGATCTGGTTCAAATGCTGAACCTTACATTATTTGAATGTCTATTGAACATTATGAATTTCCTTTGAATATGTTTCCTATTGCATAGTATCTTAACTTAGATATATGTTTTACTATCTTTAAGGAAAATCTCTCACTAAATTCATCTTTGTAGATATATCTTATGACAGGAAGAGATTTCAAACAGATGAAATATCAATAAGCATTTACAAATGAGAAAAAGTTCAGATGTCTGTGATGTAGGTTTAAAGGGTAATTCATATCTACACACACACACACACACACACACACACACACACACACACCCTAAAATTATGTTGTGCCAGAAGCACACACCACATCACTTTAGTTAAGGAATCCCTCATGTCATGTACTGGTGTAGGACAATTCTATATTCTGTCAATTATGTTTTAAATAAACACTGATTGGCCATTAGCCAGGCAGGATGTGTAGGTGGGACAACAAGACAGGAAGTAGAAGTTGAACAAGGAGAATAGGAGTATTCTGGGAAGCAGGAAGCTCCCTCCCTATTCCTGCCCAGATCACCAAAGAAGCAGGATGTGATCTGCCCCACTGAAAAAAGTATTGAGCCATGTGACTAACACAGATAATAATAATGGGTTAATATAAGTTATAAGAGATAATACAAAGCCTGAGCTAATGGGTCAGTCAGTTTATATCTAATGTAGACTCTCTGTGTGATTTTCTTTGGGGCTTACCAGCTGTGGGAACTGGGCAGGACATAAACCCCAACAAGCACGCCCTCATGTTACAATGTACTTCTGTAGAAAACTACAAAATGCAGAATGAGGTACCATTTTTGTCAATGTGGAGGTGTGACAGTGTTTCCATCCCCCTTTGTTCACTGGTGTACTCAAAGAGCTCTCCTTTCCCACAGCCTCGGCAAATAGGGAGCTCTAGGAAAAGATCACCAGTAGCCATTTTCATCGGTGAACTGTAGCATCTTTCCTCAGTTCCAGGGAAGCTGTACTCTCTTGCAGAACTATGCTCGGTATAATCAGACATGTTAAAAAGGCAAGAGTGCACTACAGGCCTTCCTTTGGTCTTTATGGAGTAAGTGACCACACACCTGCTATTGCTTTTGAATAATCTGGAGATTTTTATACACTTTCTAACTAAACTCAGAGCAAGAAATACTTATATTACTTTAGATAAAGTTTATTTATAGAAAATTTTAGTTGTTGCTCAGGCTGGCCTCCAACTTGCTATGTAGCCAAGGATGACCCTGACTTTCTGATCTTCTTGTCTTCACCCTCACAAGTGCTGGGATTTCTCACACCCAGGTATAAGAAGCGTTAACAAAGTTTCTTCCTAAGAAAAAGATCCTGGGATGCTGTGACAGGCTGTCTTTTAGACATGGCCACTGCACCTCCAAGCTCACTTCAGCTATGATCATCACCTATACAAGATCTGTACAAGGTGGAGCCAGTGAGGTCAGCCAGTATTTTCTACCTGTAAACTCTAGTTAAGCTCAGTGGGAGGAGGAGAAGTAACAAAGAGGGAGAGAGGAAGTTTGGTGTTGGGAGGAGTGGGAGAGAGGAAGGAGGGATGGCTATGCTCAAGATACTATGTATGAAGTACACAATTATCAAGGAAAAATAAGATATTCTAATAGAAAATTTCTCGAGTCTCCAGACATTACTAGCATATGAAAAGTATTTGTGCATGATTAATAGGGGTGAACGGACACACTGATCTGGAGATAAGCATGACGAGAACTCAAGGTCCAAGTTCTAACAATGACCTTTGGCTACACGGGGGTAATCTGTGTCATTGATTATTAGCATTTTTTTTGTGGGAATATTTACCTCTGCTTCTCTATGGAGAAATGGGAAATTAAACTCAGTCCTCTAAGAAGGTGAAAGGGAAATCACTTAAACTGCAAGCCATCACAAAAATGCTTGTTCTGAAGCAGTACAATGGCAATAGTCAAACAATTGGATGGTTTGCTTTTAGGCTTTTGCTCCCAACTAGAAATGCCTTTTGGGGACTAAAATATTGAGAATTCTAACTGGATAAGCATTTTATTAGTTGCTTTTGAATGGCTGTGGTCAAAATACCTAACGGAAACAGCTTAGGGAAGCAGTTTTTATTTTCGCTCAGGGTTTAGAGGACTCCAGTCCATCATGGTGGCGAAGGCACCGCAGATCACCTCAGCCAGAGTGCAGGAAAGCTGTTCCCTGGAAGCAGAGGGCAAGCAGCAACCTGGGACTCATTAAGACCTTTAAAGTACATTCCCATCCCGGTGGTGGTGGCGGCATGCCTTTAATCCCAGCACTTGGGAGGCAGAGGCAGGCGGATCTCTGTGAGTTTGGGGCCTGCTCGGTCTTACGGGAGCTAGTTCCAGGACAGGCTCCTAAGCTACAGAGAAACCTGGTCTCAAAAAAACAAAGACAAAAAAACAAAGTCCACTCCCATCCTGCTCAGTGACAGACTTCTCTCTGCTGAACCCTGCCCTCTAAAGCTTTTCCAGCCTCCTACAAACAGCCCCACTAGCCAGGAAACAAGTATTCGTATTATGATCCCGTGGAAGACAGTTCAGAGCCAAAGCATACTACGTGTGTTAGCCTGTCACACACATACAAGATCATTTTTGATCCAAGTCTCCCAAACACTGTCTTTTATCTAATTTTCTTTGCCTAATACAACAGGTGCCCCTTAAGCATTCCTTCTTCTACGTGTCTTTTAAAGTCTCCAGTTTTCCACGGTAAAGGGTGGCGGGAGAAAAAAAAACGCATGAAAGAAAGGAGAGAGGAGCCAGCTGAAGGGGAAAGCAGATACTCTGGTCCAGGTCGATGGCCTAGGACACCCAATGGTTATATTGATCCTTCACCCTACAACGCTTGAGCAGGCGAGCTGAACACTTAATCCCTCCTTGTCTCTCATCTCCCCCACTAAGAGAAACGGTTGCAGTTTCAGGAGAAGAACGCCTGCCCAGGCTACTGTCAAGCGCCGAGCAGACCACCATCTCCAAGGAGGACGTGACTCCTGGTGTCTAGAACTTCTCACCCACAACTAAGAGCTGCTCTAACGCGGCGGTCGCTACGGAGGAGCCCAGGGAGGCGGGGAAGCTGCATAGCTCCAGGGAGAGGCTGGTGGAGACCGAAGCCGACTGCTTCACTTTCTCGCTGACAAACCCCCTGTCGGGGGTCCAGGAGCGTAGGGCCATCTTGCTGGGTTTAGCGCTGGCGAAGTCAGAGGAACACGGTTGCCAGGGGCAACGATGACGCTAACGTCTCCCGGCGCCCCCTTGTGGCCCCCACGGGTGGTAGGAATCTCCTTTGGTTCTCTATTGCCAAAGCCTAAGTGATTCTGGTTAAATGACTGATTCTTCAGCTTTTGGTCGTGTTCCATTTCTGATACCTTCCTTACACACTGCATCTGGGAACAGCAAGAGTCACGTGTGAACGCCTCGGGCCTCGCCATATAGTAGCTCTCTTCATCTACTCGGTGACTTCATGTGGCAGTCTTTTTATTCGGAGGAGGAAACTGAGGCATGGGTGATTAAGTGAATTTCCAAGGCCACAGGAAGACAACACCGGGCCCATTGAGTACCGCACTAGGTTTTTACCCTCCCAGGACAGTTTCTGAACATATTTTGCCTTGAATAATAGTTCTTTTTATTCTTATGTGAACTATTTGATGACAGGGACCCGTGAACTGTCAGGGCGCGGTGTTGAGTGTGATGGTCACCTCTGCCTGTCTAGAGACAAGCAAGATGGTTTAAACTCCGTTCCTAAGGCTTCTTTGTAGCTGTTGGAACTGAAGTCGTACTGATTGTAATATCATTAACTGACAACTATGTGGGGCTTATGTTTTGGATCCTGTTCTGAATACGTTCCCTCCAGTGACCCATTTAACCATTGTTATCCTTTGGGGAGGGTATCTGGACCCACTTTCCAGGGGAGAACCTTGAGTCTGCCTTCTGCCATCTGCTACCACATCTAGAGGAGGCCTCAGCCGATTCAGTTCCAGAATCTAGATATTCTTCATCCAGGAGAGTCTTTTCCTGACTCTGGGCACTGTCTTGGGTCCTTTCTTTTTACTAGATTTAGTCTAATTATAGTCAGATGAGTTCTTGCTTCTGTGTGATCCCCTCTTTGATGGATACAAGAAGGCCAGTTTCCCAAACTCCCTTGTGATCTTGGCTTTCCGGGTAAGTTCAACCAATAGGAGACTCTAGGCAGAGATTAGGAGGTGGAAAGTCATTCTGTTTGTTTAGAGGGAGAGTGTTTCCAGGCTTGAAGGACCTCAGGTCAGCAGGTTTGGAACCTGAGAGCTTGAAGGGGATAATCCAGAACTCCAGAAGTTTTCAGATGCTCAGTAAAAAATATGGGACCTGAGTACTCCACAGGGTCCTGGTGGTGAGCGTGTGAGTACCACACGGGGTCCTGGTAGTGGGCGTGTGAGTACCACACGGGGTCCTGGTAGTGGGCGTGTGAGTACCACACGGGGTCCTGGTGGTGGGCATGTGAGTACCACACGGGGTCCTGGTGGTGGGTGTGTGTCTACCACACAGGGTCCTGGTGGTGGGCGTGTGAGTACCACACAGGGTCCTGGTGGTGGATGTGTGAGTATCAGAAAGGGTCCCGGTGGTAGATGTATGACTATCACAGAGGGTCCTGGTAGTGGGCATGTGACTACCATATAGGGGTCATGGTGGTTTTCTGACATTTTCCCCTTGTCTTATATTATCCTTGTGGCACATCTCCTCTGAGAGCTTCCTCTCTGGAAACATGCACATTCGAGCATTATAATCCGATCTGTATAGTCTTCCTTCTCATCACCCCTTTCTATCACTGTTCTTCATTGTCTACACATGAAGGCTTATTTCCAAGGGATTATCAGCATCCTCCCTACCCATCAGTGTTATTATAGGTTTTCTAGTTTTTCAAAATCTCTTTCTGTTATTGGTAATATTTTATTCTCTCTGAACATGCTTCATGAAAGATGTCCAACATCTTCCTTTGCTCATGGGTCTTTTTTATGAAATTAACGCCACCACTTTAAAGAAACTTTCAAATTTCGAACTAGAAATATGGACAAACAACATGAAACATGTGTCCCAGAAACTCAACAAAAAATTTTTACCTGCACCACCATTCAAATAAAAATAGGACACTCATTTTTACATTGTATAATTGAGGTTCAAAAGAATAATAATTTAAAGTGTGGTACTAAGAATGTGAATTTCTATGCCTTAACGGGAGAACAACTTAGAACATTGTATGAGGAGTCAGCATATAACACATAAGATATCATAGAATGGTTCTCTGTGTGTGCATGTGTACGTATGTGTGTGTGCGTGTGCGTGCAAGTGTTCAATCATTTGTATAGTTTTCAGGGGTCAGTGTTGGGTGTTTTCCTCAGCAGCTCCTCCATTTACATTTTGAGGCAGGGTCCCTCACTGAAAATGGAAGTAGCCCATTTGGCTAAACTAGCTAGTCAGCAAGCCACAGGGAACCTTCTGTCTCCCTGCTTTCCCAGTTCTGGGATTTAAGGGAAATATTGCTATGTCAAACTTTTATGTGATCACTGGGACATAAACTTGGGGCTTTGTGCTTGTGTAGCAAGCATTATATCAACTGAGCCATCTCTTTAGTCCAAATAATGGTTCTTAAAGAAACCAACCACAACTGTGTTCAAGGACCTACCATGAGCTTGCTAGTTGCCATTTTATCTTCTTAAAAATTTTTAGCTAGTATACAAACTGTGACATTTTCACACATAATTATGCATACATGATAATATAGGTATAAAGCTCTATTTTAAGCAATAAAAATTATATATAGTTCAAAATTATGCATACCAGGCCCATTTTCAAGCAACCTTTGGGACATCCATGCAGTGGGACAACCTAGGAAGTGAGCCATTAAGTGTTTAGGGTGTGGCTCCTGTCTGAGGAATGTAAATGAGCTCTACCACCTACAGCAGGAGTGTTTCTTCGGACTGGTGGTCTCTACTCATGTCACTCATGGCTCGAAAGGAGTGGAAGCAATAATAGCTCTTAATTCGTAGAATTGTTGGAAAGACTATCCAAACTATTATTAACACTTACGAAATGCCAAAAATTATATGGTTAATCAATACTGTTAATATTAGAAAGAATGGCTGTCAATTTGCATGCACATACCTACAGAAACATTTGAGTGAGGCGGGCATGTTCACTGTTTCCATTGTAATGATCGTTTCAGTGTTTATGGTAGAACTGACCTCACTGGAGCCTTGGCTCACTGTAGCTTACTGCACATCACTTATCCCTGGATAAAACTCGAAACTCTGTATGTCAGTATTTCTTGTTGATACTGTGCCTGTCTCACCATGGTCTTGTAAACCAGTTCTAAGCACCCGAGATGATGCAGAGACACTATACTTTAGACTGCTGATTTAAAAGGAAGAAGGGCTGATTTCACTCCTGGATTCGGGTCCAGGGTTGATTGACTGTTGACACGTAGTCTGCAGTAAGACGGAGAGCCAGAGGGTGGTACCAGGATCCCTTTCAAGGGTCCACCTTAGTGACCTAACTTCCTTTTGCTGAACTCTACCTGTTAAGGGTTCCACCATCTCCCAGTAGCATCATAGGCTGAAGACCAAGATTTCAAACCATGAAACATTTCAGATCCTCAATACCTGTCTCCTCATATGCTAGAATCCAGTGAGCAAGGTGCATGGAGCTACGGACGACGTGATAGGGAAAAGGACCATTTGGGGTTTCTGAAGTTGTAAAGCAAAGAAATACTTTTTTTTCCATGAAAATTCCATTTTTATCTTACTTTCTGTCAATATGTTCAAACCAATTCAAGTGTATCCTTAATTATTGATCTTTATGTAATATGCTAAGTTGATACTTCTGAGCAATTTAAGAGGTGGTTTAGCAGAAAAAAAACCCTCAAGGATCTTTCTATAATCCTATAATAAATGTTTGTTAAATTAGAGTTAGAACCTTAAATTAAAAAACTACTGAACAAGGGTCTGGGGACATAGCTCAGGTAGCAGATTACTTGTGGCAAAAGTGTAAAGATTTGTGTTCAACTCCTAGAACCCAGGTATAAAGCCCGTCATGGTGGTGCAGCAGAGAAAGAGAGAGCTTGTTGAGCCCAACCAGCATGCCCCAGGTCCCAAAATAAGGTAATGGCTCTTGAGGATTGGCACCCAAAGTTGTTCTTTGAATTCCACATACTTCACACACACACACACACACACACACACACACACACACACGCACGCACGCACGCACGCACGTGCGTGCGGTGCACGCATGAATGAACGAATGCATGCACACGCTCGTTCATGCACATGGGGCAAACTGAGTCTCTGCCACCCTCACTCCAACCCTGCAAGTTTAGCACCCTGTCCTATGCCCAATCAGGGTTTAATTTACACAGTGTTGTTATCTTTCTGTCCTACCACCCGCGGCATGCTGTCTCATCTTTAGGCCTACCCCTTCATGGCCATCTATGGTTGCTACAGCCCCAGATGTTCTACAACTGTACAAAGCAGGGAAAGTAGAAAAGTCTCCCATGTGAAAGTCCGTTATTTTCTTTTATGAAGGAAGGAAATCTCCCCAGCATTTCACATAGTTCCTTGTCTTGGTGTCCAGAACAGAATAACAAGGCTACCCAGAAGAGAAGTTAGAACAGTGAGGGTTTACATTGCCATCTCTGCGGACATGGCAGGAATCAAGAGGCTTCAGACAAGCTGGGAGCTGGGAGATCTTTATCTAGTAAGTCAACCAAATTCACATATAATCTCAAGGTCAGCTCCAAGCTAGCTGTGGCTTCATGTTTCCCTCGGGACTGAGAAGGAATCAAAAAAGTTTCTCAGGCTGAACAGGAAGGCTGTTTGTGTCTAGTGTATCTCCCAAATGTAAGCCTTCCAGTTGACTTCATGCTGGTAGATCTGTATGATGTTTTTATAATAGAATATTCCTACTCCCAGAATTTCTAGTAGCTTCTAAGGTGCCTTGATTGATTAGGTGTGAAATCAGAAAGAAGACCTATTTGGGGGAGGAAGAAGGTCAACAGAGTTGGGGCAGGTGACCGGGGGGCAGACACAAATTAAGACTGGAGTATAGCAATACACATGCATGAAAATGCTATGATTTTCTTAATTATAAACAAGTTAAAATTAAAACAAGTTAATTAATTAAAACAAGTTAAAGAAAGAAGTGCCTGTCGTCAGTTCCCAGTTACGTTGACTCTGGCATGTGGTTATTTGTGGCAAAATGGCAGCAAAAGCATGTGCCCTATGTGGTACCAGATTGTTAGCAGGGAAGCAAACAGATGGAAGTACCCTGATAGAGGGATGCCAAGGGAGAAAAGCCAGGTACCCGGTACCCCTAGGGAAGGACAGGCTGTGTTAGCCAGAGTTCATAACAACTCTCAGCTCAGAGGCTCCCTTCAGTTTTCTCTCTTGACTGCTTACTTTCAGTAACCAAATGGACTTGGGACAACTCTTGACCACATCATTGCTAATGGTTTTAAGTAACTTGCCTCTTTGTCTTCTTTCTTCATGCGTGAAGTGGAAATTTGTATCCTGGGATTGTGGACAGGAAGCAGAATGAAGATGTTCTAACCACAGAACACTTGCAAAGGATTTCCCACCGTAAGCAGCTCTCATCTGTGCTGTGTGAGGGGAAAATGAGCGCTCCTTCTGAAAAGCAAATGCTACTGTACTTTCCACCGGGCCTTGATTTGTTATTAAACTCCAGTGACTATTATGTGAGCCAACAGCTGCAATAGCACAAACGGGAAACTGGCTTTATTTCCATGCCATTTCTCCTGGGTGCTGGTGACGGCCTGCACGGTTGAGAGTGAATCTCAGCACAGGAAGACAATAGGCTGCTCTGCTATCAGACACAGGCATGGCTGGCCGCACAGGACACTTGCTGGGTGTCTGCAAGACTCGGCAGTATGTCCAGCATAGAGCATTTGTATGCCAAGAAAGACCAGGGGCGGGAACTTGAAGGAGGTCAGAGGGAACCCTAGAGGAGTCAGGAAGAATTAAAATATGAGAAAGAGGAGAAATGAAAGGCGGGTGCCTGGAGATGTCAACTGTCTGTCCCTGGGGTCCCTCTTCTCTAGAGCCGTCCTCAATTCCAGGGACTGAGAACTGAGCACTTGGGCTTTCCCCAAAAGTTCAGTTTTGACACATATGGTCACAAGCAGTGGGTTTTACTATACATGAAATATCCTAATTAGCCCTTCGAGTAGACACGTGCGTAGATTTGGTTCCTGTTCTTGAGAAAATGGCCCTGAGGTGGGGAAAGGAGCCACACCTGCTGCTCCTGCCTGCAGAGTGCTTCACCTCCTCCCGAAACAGCTGCTTCCATGGCTGCCTCACAGCTCTGTGGGGGTACTTATTATCATTCTTTTTTGAAAAAGAAAATTACATTAATATTAGTGTGTGGCTAATGAGAGAGGAAGTGGGATTCCCAGCCAGAGCTGTGTGAGGCTCACTTATACATGCACTGGGAAGGGCCTTCCTTGAGTTCAAGCCAAGAGGGTGAGTTTCCTGCCGCAGTCAGAGCTGGGGTGGCTGCCTCCGTGGAGAAAGTGGAAGCCGCTCCCTGCCTGCAGCAATGGCAGAGGTAACACTTTCATGGCCGAATAAAGCGTCAGTTACAAGGATTAGGACTTTTTCTGGTACACTTACCCAGTAACCAGAAATTAAACTGGGCCAGAAGCAGCCAGGACTCCAGTGAGCTCTCCAAAGTCGCTCATGAGCTAGGTGGCATCCTCGCCGAGAGAGGTAAACAATGGTATTTTAAACAGTTTCTTTCTTACCAGCCTCACAAACGTTTGCAACACTCAGATTTTTAAAGTATAAAGGATTCTCCATTTTCTTTATTGTTTATTTCCTCTTAATTCTTATTCTTAAAATGGGTACCAGATTAGATTTTTCATACAAAGGTGGCTCAGCAAAGAATAAAGTAAACTTCCCACTTGACTTCACAAATCTCTTCTTAAAATTTACAAATGCCAGGAAACACAGGATGACCTCCATATGTGAATGCAATTGACTCTTTCTGGAGCTCCCTTGGGAGAGTGGAAACACAAACAATCCTGGCTCCCACTCCTTCCCACCCCCAGGAGCCTTCTTCCTCAGTCAGCTCCCTGTTCACAGTGTCAGCCATGGCTTCCTCTGTTTGCTCTGCTTAAATCTGTGCCTCACCTTCCCTTCCTTACCACATGCTGTGGTTTGGATATGGCTTGGCCTCCAGGGATTTCCTCAACAGAGGTTTGACTTCTGTGTGGTGGAAATGAAGTGGCGAGTCTGTTAGTAAGAGGGGCCCTTGGCAAGGTGGCAAGACAGGTCCTCCCCTCCTTCCTGGTGATGAGATGTTCCCCTCTTGTGCTTCTGCCATAGCAGGGACCATGTGCCATGATGTGATCGTCAAGAACACCTGCCCTCAACATGACTGACGCTGTGCTGTGTGGACTCCGGGCCTCCAAAACTATTGGCAAGACAGACCTCTGTCGTCGTGAATTTCCAGCCTTGGTATTTCATTCTAGCAATGAAAAGTAGGCAAGCACAGACATCTTTTCAAAGAGTGGTCTGCATCATGGCTAGGGTGCATCCCTTCACCTTGAACCTAAACTGCCTCCTCTTCACCTTCATTGTGTGTGTACACATAGGTACAGAGGTCAGTGGTTAACACTGGGTATCTTCCCATTTGCTTTTGTCCTTATTTTTTAAGACAGGGTTCTCACTGAATCTGGAGCTTGCAGTTCAGCTAGACTTGATTGGCCAGCAATCCTCAGGGAACCTCTTGCCTGTCTCCCCTGCACTGTGTTTACAAGTGTGTGTCATTAGCCTGGCTTTTCCACACAGGTGATCAGGATCAAACTTCATGGAATAGATGCTCGTATTGGTTAGGGTTCTCTAGAGGGACAGAACCAGTAAAATGAATATATACATATATGTGTGTATAAAATTTATTACATCAGTTTATGTGGAAATAGTAACAACAGTTGGATCACACTGAAGACTTTGAGAAACCCATAGTTGCTCAGTTTAGGAGGTTAGGTTCTGCCACAATCCCAATCTGGGGCTGAAAACCTGGAGGTTTCCAAGAGAGCCACCATTCCTCGGTCGATGATGGAAACCCAGAAATGCTGGTTCTAGGGAAGCACCAGCAATAGCATAACTTTCACCACCACCACCATAACCATTATCACCATCATCACCACCTTTACCACCACCACCATCATTCCCACCATCACCACCACCACCACAATCATCACCACCACCATTATCACCACCATCACCACCACCATCACGATCATCATCGCCATCATCCACCACCACCACCACCACCATCATTACCATCATCATCATTTTCTTCATCATCATCATCATCATCATCATCAGCAGCAGCAGCAGCAGCAGCAGCAGCAGCAGCAGCAGCACCTCCACCATCAGTGGTAGCAGCAGTTTTTAAATAAGCTGAGACAGGGAGTCCAGACAAGGAAAGGGTGTGTAACCTTCCTTCTGCCTTGTTCTTTTCTCTTTGGGCTGCAGCCAGAAGGTGCTGTCCACACCTGGAGCAGGCCTTCCCTGATTATTTACAGCAGTAAATAGCTCCATGGTGGAGGCTTCCTGGTTGGGTGACTCTAATTTGTGGCAAGCTGATGTTAAACTAGTCATCACAATGCTTAACATATTGTTGAAGAGAGGATAGAGAATTTCATATATGTATAATTTTTAAAGACACAGAGTTCAAAAGCTGCAGTTTTGGTTTTATTAGAAAGGGGGAGACACATGCAAAGAAGCTATCTCTTCAGGATCTACCACACTAATTTCATATCTAAGCCAATGCCCCGGTTAGGGTTCCTATGCCTGTGATGAAACTCCATGACCAAAAACTATTTGGGAGGAAGGGTTTATTAGGCTTATAGTTCTGCATCATAGTCCAGTACTGAAGGAATTCAGGACAAGAACTCAAATGGGGCGGGAACCTGGAGGCAGGAGCTGATGCAGAGGCCATGGCTTGCTCAGTCTGCTTTTCCTATAGAACCCAGGACCACTAGCAACACCTACAATGGGCTGGGTCCCCCCCCCCATAAATCCATAACTAAGAAAATGCCCTACAACTGTATCTTAAGGAGATATTTTCTCAATTGAGGATCCCCGATCTCAGATGACTTTAGCTTGTGTCAAGTTGACATAAACTATGTAGCACAGAAAATATGGAGGTGAAAAGCGATGGGTCACAACTGTAATCAGCCCTTGGGAGGCCGAGGCAGGAAGACTGTGAATTTGAGACCAGCTTGGCCTAACAGAGGAAAGCCCAGTCTCCAAAAACGTCACCATAAGTCATTAGTTTAAAAAAAAGAAGACCCACTTAGCCGGTAGTTAAAAGCTGGCATTCTAAAGACCCAATGGACTTCTCGGAATCATCTTAAACTGTGGATAAAATTTGAGTCTGTGAGTTAATTGCTACACCAAAATTATTACTTCATGAACATTTGAAACTCTTAGACTGATTTCAGATTATGAGAATGAATTGTCTGCTCTGTGGGCTAATGGGCATCTAGAATTAATGAATGACGTCACCATGATCTCCCTGCTCTGGTTTCTTTTTCTGTTGCTGTGTGGATGTGTGTTCTAGACCAGGGGGACTGTGCATATAAAATTAAGCCATTGCATAAAGCTCCTTAGGATTTGCACTTTCCCGTCTCTGTTCACAGCAGGGTTGTTATATAACACTCACATTCAACTCTCTTTGGCTGGGAAGGTCCAAATGGGAAAACTGCTTGGAAAAAAACATGCAGTTAAACCCTTAGACTCTCTGATGCTCTTCCAATAAATGTCCATCGAATGTTCATATATGCTAGTGGGTTTCTCCTGCAGCAGTCAGAGTCTTGCTGAGAAAACATGGTTCCTCACCTGAAGAGACTGCAGGGGAGGGGAGGGAGGAACCCTACAAATCAGGACAGCCCTCTGAGGACTTGCTTTAGCTTTGGCCAGCTGTGCAAACACTGTGCTTCAGTTTTCCCATATCATGAAAGTAAAATAGGCCCGGGAATCTTGCAAGATTTTGAAATTTTAGTTAGAGATGTTTATAAAGAGCGCACTCTACACAGTGCCTGGCTGGAAGACACTGTCCTAAGAATTTTCATCTCAATAGCCTCAAAATTGCCTTCCTGACTCACAAACGAGGCATGCAGCTTGGATAATAATTTAGATGTACTCTGTAGAGCACCCAATTTATAGATTAAGGAATAAAATTAAAAAATGTCCCAGAGAGAGAGAGAGAGAGAGAGAGAGAGAGAGAGAGAGAGAACAGAAAAAAGTAGAGACATTTTGATCAAGAAAAACTGTAAGAAAGACAAGGAGGAAATACTTGTTCAGGGACATTCTTCCTAGTGTCAGGCAAAGGTCCTACTTAAGCTGGGAAGTCAGATAGGCTAGCTTAAATAGCCTACTATAATGTGCATATACCAGAATGTATACGTTGTCATCATGGAGAGCTGCATGTTTTGTTGGGGACATGTTCCATGCCTTTACATACAATGGCTGTCCTTTCCTACCCAGAGAAGCATTAAAAGCACTAGCTGTATTATAAAGAACAGAAAGTCAGACAAGATAAATTTGTCCTGGGGATATTATCTGGTGGCAAATTTTCCTGTAACTTTAGGGCACTTGGGCGTAGACATTGAACAGAATGTTCATTGTAGAGTTTCTGGGACATCTGATGAAAGCCACATGAGAAAATGCCTACCTCACAGTGTCTTCCCTCTGG